CTGCAAGGAGCAAATAAATGCTGGAACAGTTCTGGTGAGGCGTCCTCTGTTTTATGCCCAACACCACCTTGTTTAGCACAAGTAAAATAAAAAGTTTCTGAAACATCACATGTACGAGGGAACTGTAACTACATTATACCAGATGTATGTATAGAAATTATTGTTTTCTTTTAAATTATCCACAGGAGTATTGGCAACGCAGGTCCTAAGAAAAGCGCTTCTTGTTTTTATTCCATTTTAGAAAACAGAATCAAAGAGAAAATTATTATTCAACAAAATCAGATGAACAACACTGTTTGACAGTTGCCAGCCTTGTGGATATTGGCCAAAACAAGAGCACAAGGTGGTGCGTTGACTAGCAGAGGTTTGTTAATGGTTTGTGGATCGAATGTTGTACGAAGATGGTGTACGAGGAGACAGAAGTAGCCAAGTATCTTCTAATATGGTGTCAATTCTGTTTCAAAACTTAAGGTGCTGTATCTTTTAAACGCAAAGTAACCCGTCAGACAGAGGAGAGTCGAGCTCTGCCGAGTTATGTTTTCTGTCTTTTGGGGGAAGGAGGGAAAGTCTCCTACAAGAAAGAGGATTCGATTCGATGATAATCTGGCGTTGTACAAAAGATGCCCACCGACGCCCCGTCAGGACCGCAATTAGAGATTGAAAGGAGAGTTAAGTTCGTGGGGGGTGGGTGATAGATGGGGAAGGAGCGCGCCATTGACAGTTTTGGCGTTCGACAACAGCTTGCGAAGGACACCGGTTCTGAGCTCTACATTCGGGCGTATCTGGTTTATGCAGCCAGTTGTGTAGAGCACACAATGGACAAAAGGCTTTAACGACAAAAGAAACCTAGCATCCAACTCAGCACTGTTGCAGCCTGCATGTCAACTTGATTTTTTTATATGTGACGTGTATTAACAGGAGGAGGGAACAAAGCTGTTTAAATGTTAATGCGTGGGGCACTTTCTTTAAAGACCAAGGATATGTAAAATGTAAACTTTATCCGTTCAGATTCCAGGGACAGCTGTGAGTAAAGCGTGTACTGTTTCCTCTGCAAGGTATTGCAGTGAAGCAGTACTCTAACCTGTGGCTGATTCATAGTCTGAATGCTTTTCCTCTCCACGGTCACGGATCATGTCTACTATGTTCAGGTCACTGATATAGGTTGCCGAACAATTTCCGCTCTTTTTCGCGAAAAGGTAGTTTGAGAATCTTTTTCCACACCACAGTTTATGTGTGTCATCCAATGGCAGCTCCGCGTTGAAGCTGTGTGATAGTTTACACGAAGATAGGCCAAACTCAGGACAAGCTCAAGGAAATGTACAGACATTCCTACAGTCCCAGCATTATCTTGCTGTGCTTGACCCCCTGTCTATCAGGACCCAACGTTAACTGTTTCAGCAGTTGAGCTACAGCAGCTCGCTGCTCGTTGGACTCGGAGCCCCACCACGGGACCAGCTTCACTCCCCCACGACTCAATGGAGATGCCGGCTTCATGACCCTGTCTCCGTTGTCTTTTCCTGCTCTTGGACCCACTTTTGGTGTACTTGACACTCTGAGACCCGGAAACACCTACCACAGTGGCATGTTAGGAGATGCCTGGACCCAGGGTGCACCCGATCAAACAATGTGGCCCTTGTCAAAAGTGGCTTCAGATCCCTCACGCTGTTTCATTTCTGGGACAACATCAACTCGAGGACAAAAATGTTCACTAAGCTGCCCTGTAATTCCGCTCCACGACAGGAGCGCCTATAACCAGATAATGAGAGTTAGTCACGTGGCAGTGCTCACTGTGTAGGGTCATGAGGTAATGTAATCTGTTACATAGTAATCAACAAGGTGGGTCTTGATCTTCCCTTTCCCAAAAAGCTACTTGTGGGTGTCACATCGCTGTTGAGGGCATGGCATGCATGTAGACAATCACATATTAAACTAAAGCAAAGATTGGGACAAATCTTTTCTTAGGACAGCTGTCCAGAGTGCAAGTAGCAATAGAAGGACGGAAACCATTTGCTTGCACTGTGGTAAGCAGAACATCACATTTGTCAGATCTCATCTGGTATGATAAGACAAGAATGTGACTCTGCAAGTTGTATTGCCATGTAGACACCAATCTAAGTAAATCATGATCTCATGTGTTTGTTTCTTAAAACAATCTTTCTCTTGATGACATACTGTGGAAATGATTCTACGTTTGCTGTGTAGAGAATGACTTCAGATGTAAATCACTTACCATTGTTAAAAATTCATATTTTATCTGTTTTTACATACACTTGAATGAAGTCAGTCCAAGATCAATTTATTCCCAGTCTTTTACTTTTAAAAGGAACAAGGAAAGCACGTTCAAGTCGAAGAACGTATGGTACTATGTGCGTATTTCAAAAAAACATTCACGTTATGTGACCTAATCTACCTGCATGCCCACGCCCTCACAGACTGTGAAACACAAGTAGCTTTTATAGGAAAGTGAAGACAGAGACTTTAAAATGTTTGTAGTTTAAGATTCAGCATGCCATGGAAATACATAATTAGATTATAAATCCTGGTTTTCATAGACGGACACTTGTTTTGATTTCCAGCAGTATAAAGTAATTAAGGCTACTACTCTCTCTGAGGTTTGAGGACCTTTGCTTGTCTGTAAAATGAGACAATTGTGATTTCACTGTAAGAGTTCTTTGAAAGAAAATAGTTTTACTTTACTACTTTCTGAAACCTCATAAGTCACAGAGAAGCGCTGACTTTGTTGGCCCAGTGACAAGAAGTGTTGTCGCGCTGCGCGAGGTGGTTTCGTGTATTTTTTCCTGTAATGTGATCAGTAAGAAATCGTGCCCAGGGCATGTAAAGAAAGAAGCATGGGTAAAACATTTGGAAAGCAGCAGAAAGGTGAAGGTTGAGAGCAGGGGCGCTGAAACATGTGGAGGTGCTTTGTGGGATGGTTGTAGAGGGACTGTAGGAAGGAGGCGTTGTAGGAATAGTGTTGATCGTAAAAGATGACCAGTCGATCGGTTCCTGGGATATCTGTACACTGCCTGCGTTGGTGGCTGTACTGTTGTCTCTGTTGATTGTATGGTGTTTGTGTGGTGGCCTGCGTGTGGAGACTAAGCGACGTGTTAGGAAAAGAGAAGAAACAAAAAGTAAAAGCGGAGGTGGGGTCCAGAGAGGTTGGTATCAGAGGTGATGGTCCCAAGGAGGCAATAAAAGCCTCAGTACTCAGCAAGGCCCTGCCCTAGCCCACACCCAATGTCTCCAATGTACAGCTGGGAAGCAACCATGAGAAGGGGAGCTGGGCGCTTTATTAAAGAACTTCAGGGAACACTCTCCTGAGCTGGGGAGTGTGAAAGTAACACAACCCACTGTGCATAGATAGTTTCAATGGCTCAGCAAGAACTGTTTAATGTTCCTGTACTGATGTGTTTTTATTCTGGTGATGTTGATTTGATTAATGCAGGTTACTGTAGTAACTGTAGTCTTTGAGA